CAAATTCAAAGTATGTTAAAGTCCGGAGTACTCGAACAGGCGGAGCGGAGTGCCAGTTTCCTTTCAACATTCTTTTTGGTGCCAAAACCAGATGGCAGCTACCGTCCAATATTCAATTTGAAACAACGGAACAGGTTCCTCAACACGAAACCCTTCAGATTGTTCAGTCACTTTCGAGTACCCACCTTCCTGCAGCATCAGGATTGGATGGCGAAATTAGACCTAAGCCAAGCCTACTTTCACGTTCCGATTGCTCGGCGTCTTCGAAGATATTTGAGACTAAATTATCACATCAATTCAAACCAGCACCAACTGCTCCAGATGACCTGCTTACCGTTTGGCCTTTCCTCTGCACCGAGAACGTTTGCCTCAATAAAAAACTGGGTAGCAGAGTTTCTCAGGAATCGGGGCATCAGATGTGTAGTTTATTTGGACGATCTTCTATTGGCAAGCCAGTCGATGCAACAACTACAAGAAGATGTATCATTAACGATAAAGATCATGCAGTTACTAAGTTGGACAATAAATTTCGAAATGTCCGTGCTGATTCCGACACAGTGCTTCGAGTTTCTCGGCATAACATGGGACACAAAACTCAATGCGAAGTCCTTATCGGAGAAAAAGTGCTGTAACGCTACGCAACGCACTTCAGCAACAGTTCTTAAAAGACAAGTGGTCCCTCAAACAGTATCGGATCTTAATGGGGAGACTCAATTTTGCCACTTACGTAACCCGGAGAGGTCGGCTTCACTGTCGAACACTGCAATACTTCAGTCTACAGTTGTCAAAGGCCCACCCTTACCGCCAAGTGAGTATTCCACTAGTTCAATCCGAGATGGAGTGGTGGCTACAAGCTGTAGGTCAATATGTACCGATACACATGAATGCAGTAGTAACTCACCTTCTAACAACCGATGCTTCAGATATCGGCTGGGGCGCTCAACTCGGCGATATAAGTACCGGGGGGACCTGGATGAACCGGCAACTAACCTGGCACGCAAACAGAAAAGAAATGTTTGCAGTTCATGCAGCGATATCACACGAACGAAATCTGCTACAGAACTCACAAGTGCTTCTTCAGACAGACAATCGAACAGTGGTGTCTTATATAAACAACGAAGGCGGAAGCAAGTCCAAAAAGCTTCTCGAGCAAACTCGACAACTACTTGCATTTCTAGACAAATTCAATATACACCTTCAGGCCCAGTATTTACCAGGCAGATTCAATGTCGAAGCGGACGAAGCTTTATCGCGTCAAAAGGCTTGCCCCGAGCCCACACAATAGCGGCGACATACAAAATATTTCGAATGTGGGGCACACCGGAGATGACCTATTTGCGTCAAGTACTGCTCACGTGACCCCGAAGTATGTTTCAGTGAAGTGACCATACGTAACATATCTCTAGTCAGGATATGTTACGTATGGTGTAAACGTGATGCATAAACTAGAAACGTTGTGATAGATTCTTTTACACCGCCTTCAGGAATTCAAATGTTGTTTTAGTTTTTTGAAGAGTAAACTTCTTTAGGTACTCAGGGCACTTTTGGGATATGGAAAAAGCACTAAACTCGCGTGGCCGTCACGCTCAGATACATAAAATTGATGAAAGTAACGTTGAAACTCCAATTAATCTTAATATATATAAAATTACGTGTCACGTTGTTTGTCCGCGATGGACTACTAAAGTACTAAACCGATTTTAATCAAATTTGCATACCGTGTGCAGTTTGGTCCAACTTGAGAGATAGGATAGTTTTTTTTTTGCACATGAGTGACCTACAATTTTTGTTTTGCGAATTTAAGGATTTTTAATAGGACATGACACAAAGTCGTTGAAAAGGGCAGAACAACGTATGCCTGGCAAGCTAGTTATTTATATAATTTTACAAATCAATATTTTATAAAATTGGTGTGTAATTTATTAATTAAAGTAAATAAAAATTAAAATTTTATTACTATATTAATATGTTAATAAAAATTATTTCTAATAAAATTACTTCCTAAAAAATATTTCCTAAGAGCATAGACGGGGTGCATCTTTTCCATACAAATGTATTCCTCTACCTGAATAGGGCCTCTAGAGTAATCATTTTTGTTCATAAAAATCTAGGTCTATTGAAGGCATGCCCCTGTCATTTATTTTTTTCCAATAAATTATTAAGATATTAAATATGACTACAATAACATTGAATAAAACTAAATTTACGGATTTTATCGCGTTTATTTCACTACTTTTACTTATTTTTGATTCCCGACGTTTCGGGTGCTTTACAGCAACCACGGTCACGGGGGGGGGGGACTGTAAAGCACCCGAAACGTCGGGAATCAAAAATAAGTAAAAGTAGTGAAATAAACGCGATAAAATTCGTAAATTTAGTTTTATTCAATGTGTAGTGTTCGCGTAAATTTAAGAATTCATTATGACTACAAAAACCTAAAAATATGCCCCGTTTTTACTTTCGTAATGAGATGACTACCAAAGAAATTTCAAAAGTGTTTAAGATAAAAACAAGTTACAGGAGTATAGATCTATTCATTTAAATTTCGATGCCAAAAATAATTTAATTCGTTTAGTTTTCGAGTTGCAGTTGTCCCTATCGTACTCTACGGGGGAGACGAGAGGTGAGGGAGGGTTAGATTATACGTACACAATTAGGGAAGTGTTAACTGCCGAAGTTAGTACTGAGCTACGCACACAAATACAGACTATTTACTCACATATTGATACGTCGGTTGCTCGGGCGCAGCGCGACGGAAATACTTTTTTCAAATACCTCTTTCTCAGTACCCGCGCAGATCGACTACGCTCTTAACAGCCCAAAAATAATGTTTGCAAGCTTGTAAAGCTAAGAAGTTTTCACATTTTTTTTAAATAAAAATGAAGTGACAAACAAACTTACAGTTCACCTGATGGTAAGTGGATACTGCAGCCCATGGACACCAGCAACTAACGTCACACAAAGGAGGCTATAGATGCGTCTTCACCTCTGAGGACTAAGACGGAATGCGCTATAACCTGTAGTTTTACTGGCCCTTCGGGACGGAACACAGCAGTGCACTGTTTGCTGTGTGGCGGCAGGGACAATAAGAGGGTTGTACCTACCCAGACGGAGGCCTTGGCAGTAGAGGAGATTTACCAGCGAGAATTGTTTTTTTTTTTTTTTGAAGTCTGAAAACTTCTTTAGCATCGTTGTGATTTGAAAGTCTATGAAACGAAAACACGACAGTAAAAAGAGACAGACACATAAATTAATAAGATTTAACGTGGGAGAAAATGAGATAGGAAGCATTATAGATTATATCTCAATGCTTGCGAGAAAAAAGTCGTAAACAACGTCGCTTACGCGTTTTGTTCAACAAGGTACGAAGGTGTCGTGTGCCTATGGAATGAATATGGAATAAACAAGAACGACCAAACCTCAACTTCGTAATAGATAAAATTGATATAAATCTTTTTGTAATTAGTGAATACTATATAGGGTATATCGAAAAGAGTAATATAATATCTGTGAATAGTATATATATTAAAAGGATTGTTAAATTTATTTACTATAAAATTAAATTTTCTTATATTTTATGCCGAACTTGTAGTTTCAATTATAATATTAAATAAATAATTTGCCGTAAAATATTTATATTTTATATTTCATTTCATTTGAAGGTTTCACTTCTGTCGCGTGTGACAAAGGCACACAGTCCAACTGATGGTAAGTGGATGCTATGGCCCATAGACATCTACATTTTTATCCTGAATTAATAATCAAAATGCAAATGCGTTGTCATCCCTGAGGACTGAGATGGAATGCCCGTTTTCAGTAAACAATATTTTCGGTTCTCTACACTTACCATACGAAACACAACAACATTAAGCTGCTATTTTACGTTGGTATTTTGTGAGTGTGTGTGTGTTCTTGAGCCAACCCATTTGTACTACAACTATATTACTAATATAGCTGCAGCATGACCTTGATCCTACCATATAAAAAAGGTAAGGGCAAACGAGCACATGGTTCTGTTAATAATCAAAATGCGTTGTCACCCCTATTCCCCCTATGACACAATGTAAGAAGGAGGTTGATGTTCAGCAGTGGACTTTTGATACGATAGTAAGTAATACGTGACCAAAACAATTAAGCGCATGACAGCTAAAACGTCATTAGAACTAGTAGAGAGGGAAGTAATTGTCACTAGGGGAAGCGCGGGGATAGAGGCAAGGTGCGGGCGCCGAAACAGCATTCCTGTCATGCGCTTAATTGTTTTGGCCGAGTTATAGATTGAGTATTTTAAAATGTCTGTAAAAGTTAAGAATTAATAATACAACTTGTTACATGGTGGAGCCATGTTGCAGCTATATTATAGTTGTAGCACGATTGGGTCGGCTCGACCGGGAAGGGGCCACACTCTCACGGAATGCCAACGTAAAATGGCATCTTAATGCTGCTGTGTTTCGTATGGTGAGTGTAGAGATCCGGAGACCATCTTTACTGAAAATAAGGCATTCCATCTCAGTCCTTAGGAATGACAACGCATTTGCATTTTGATTCTTAATTGAGGATAAAAATTTAGATGTCTATGGGCCACAATATCTGTTTACCATCAGGTGGACTGTGTGCCTTTGTCACCCTTAGCCTATAAAAAAAACTAATTGTCGCTGGTAAATCTCCTCTTCTGTCTAGGCCTCCATCTTGGTAGATACAGCCCTCTTATTGTTTCTGTCGCCATAAAGCATGTGTGTAGAGAACTGGAGACCAATTTTACTGGAAACAAGGCATTCCATCATAATCCTTACGGGTGGCAGCTCATCTTGGTTTTGATTTGTAATAGAGGATGGATGTAGATGTCTATGGGCCACGGCAACCACTTACCATCAGGTACGCTGTGTGCTCGTTTGTCATCCTTATCCTATAAAAAAAATTCTATGAAAAAATTACAGGTACACAAATTATATTGTGGCAAACCGGTAGATAAGCAAACTAGAGAAGTTTTTGTCGAAGGCACTATGGAGGACGTTCACGAAAACTTCCAAACCCTCATGAATTACTGCGCGGGTGATGTAATAGCGACACACAATGTATTAAAGGAAATACTACCAATGTTTCTGGAGCGATTCCCACATCCTGTCACGTTTGCTGGTATGCTTGAGTTAGGTAAGAACTTTAATTTGTTTAACTTATTTTCTTTCGGAAAATGGGTTGATTGGGGACAGGAATATAATAAAGCAATCATTTATTCGTGTCTCTCTAGTATAACTGTCGTATAAAAAAAAATAATGTCCTCCAGACCGAATTTCGGTCACGGCGGCCTGCCTCAACGGAGACTAGCCATCGGCGCAGGACAGGATTATAGTGCCCAAGTGTATGCGCAAGCACAGGTGCACTCTCTATTCCCTCACTCTCATAATCCGATGGGACGATAAACCGACAAGACTGGAGAGAGAGAGCAAGCGGCTTTACGTGTTTTCGGAGGCACAGGGGTGAGACACCGCCATCTTCCTGACTCCGTGCAGCTACTGAGAATTTCTTGATGGAAAAACTCAATAATAATTTTTTCGCTTCCAAAAACACCGCAACTACCTAGCTATTGCAAACGACTGAAACGCTCTGACATTCAAATCTACTGAGGAGTATAGAGGAGAGTAGTAGAGTCCCCCGTACGACAAACACAATACAAGACATCTGATGAAAGTCGACTCGACTGATTGCAGATCGGGATAAAAAAAGTTTTTATTTTTATTTGTTGTTAGGAAGATGCTACTGTTTATATCCGGTTTAATATCCGTCACTCTTACAATACCCACTGGATGAAGGATTAGTGAATTTTCTCTTTTAAAATTTGTGTAGTTCTTTTTTTAATTATGAGCATTCAGCATTTTTATTTCATTCCGGCACACCGCCTGCTACTTTACAAGGCGCAGGTTCGGCCGCTCATGGAATACTGTTCCCATCTCTGGGCTGGGGCTCCCCAGTACCAGCTCCTTCCACTTTACCGCATGCAGCGTAGAGCGGCTCGAATCGTCGACGACCGAGTGCTTTCCGATCGGCTCGATTCACTGGCGCTGCGAAGAGATGTTGCATCTCTTTGCGTATTTTATCGCATCTATCACGGGGAGTGCTCTGAGGAATTGTTCGGATTAATCCCAGCCGCCAAATTTCGTGAACGCACTAAACGGCAAACGTCCCGATACCATCCACACCATCTGGATGCTTGGCGGTCCACCACTGTACGTTTCAAAAGGAGTTTTCTTCCGCGTACAACCTCTCTGTGGAATAATTTACCACCGGCGATTTTTCCGGACCGATACGACCTGGGGACCTTCAAGAAAAGAGCTTACTCCTTTCTAAAGGGCCGGCAACGCACCTGCAATTCCCCTGGTGTTGCGGTTGATCATGGGCGGCGGTAGTCACTTAACATCAGGTGAGCCACATGCTCGTTTCCCCCTCTTCTATAAAAAAAAATTCAGCATCCTTATTTACTTTCCGCTTGGCAGGTAGGTTGTTGTGCATTATAAATCATGGTATAGTAATATCAAAATATACAGGGCTGTCCTAACAATAACCGATGGGGAAAAAGTTTGTCGAGTGGCAACCTCGTGCTGGTAAGCGTAGTGTAGGATGGCCTCCCACTAGATGGAGTGGCGACCTGGTGAGATATGCAGGAAGTCGATGGATGCAAGTGGCTCAGGACCGTGCTTTGTGGTGTTCCTTGAGGGAGGCCTATGTTCAGCAGTGGACTTGTAAAGGGCTGTAATGATGATGATGATGATACATATTATACATAGCTGGGTGGTGGCAAGGTTAGAGACTCCATTGCCATAGTAAAATAACAGTAAAAGAAGCGATAGGGGCGATTATGGGGCATTATAATGGCAGAAAAAATTTATAATTTTTGGTAGGTTATGTTATGTTTACGTTTACGCTAGACTTAGAATCACAGACATCAACAAAATCCCCTCAGACAGGCAGCGTTGTCAAAGGTGCGAGACGTCTAGGACTGCGAAATCCTCTTTACAAAAAGGAGGTGGAAAACTGCTGGACATGGCAGTTACAGGCTGACAACAAAAAAAAATTGAGATTTGATTTTTAGATTTGTTCATATATGTTGCATTCAAGTTGCATTCAATTTACAGGCACAGCGTATCTTCCCGTAAATTCAAACTGGCAACAATATATAGATTCGGCAGAAACCGTATTTGAGGATCTGAAACTGGAGTCGCGACAATTGTTGTCTCAAAAAGCAGATGAAGCGTGTCGGATGATGAATGATGATGCATACAAAAAAGACCTTTGGATGTGGGATCAGGATTGGTCGACGCAGAAACTAAAATTAAAAAAACAAACTGTCAAAAAGAAGAAAAATCCTGATACAATTTCGGACACAAACAATCAAATTATAGAAGATACAAAAGTCGAAGTAAGTCAAATAAACAAACAAGAATTAAACACAAAAACAGAGTATGATGTACTGTGTGAAGAATACATAAAGTCAACAGAGTTAATGGATAGTGAATGCAATAAACCAGATACAAAAAACAAAATGGAGGAACTGAATAAAAAGTTTTCATATCTCTATGAAATGGGACATCTGTTGCCGGTGAAGAGACCATACTTAGCCGGATATCCAGCTTGGTATAGAAAGCTATGTACAAAGCCAGGAAAAGATCCAGATTGGATTCCCGGGGCTAATAATATTACAACTAGTATGCAGGTAAATTTTTGTGCTGTATTTTAGCCTGTTGAAGATTGTACTATAATGTGTTGGTTAGATATTGTTACGAGCTTGAGGGTTCGCGACAATAAAAACTGCCGATTGAATTAACAAAATTAACACCTTAACTTAAACTTAAACTTTATTCACCGAACACCAATTAAAACTTAAAAACACTAATAATTATTCACACTTAACACTTTAGTTCACTTTATTTCACTCCGAAGCCTCGCTTGTTTCGCCAAATTCAATACTGCCCCGATCGCGTATTGCAGCTTCTTTATATAGGGCTCTTCCACGAAAACATCCAGAATATTCTAGAATATTCAAGTAAATACGCGCGCCAACCGACCAAGCGCAGAAAGATCGAGTGTAGAGCTTCTAGAAAGTTTAGTTCTTCAATTTGATACTAGATGGCGCTAGAGCTAGCATGCCATGAGATGAGATGTCAACTTAGCCGCGCAACACTGCCTCCTCCTAAGACATGCTCGTCCCGAGCATTATCGGCCCCATAATAACGCGCCAGGCGATCCACATGGACGATCTACATGGACGATCTTAGGAGTCCCTCTTGCGCCTTTCTGTATCCGATAGGTTACATCGTTGATCCTGGTCACAATCCGGTACGGGCCGTCCTATTTAGATTGAAGCTTAGAAGATTTCCCTTTGCTGCGGACTGGATTTTGCAACCACACTAGCGAACCTTCGTCGAACCCTTTGTTGTTCATTTTGCGGTCATACCGGATTTCATCTTTGCAGACATTCGCTGGCCCGATTGTCTGACGTGCTCGTAAATGTCATTCATTTTGTTCCGTAAGTCATTTGCATAATCGGTTATACTGCGTGGGGCATCAGGTGGTATCCCGGTGATCAGGTCTGCAGGCAGCCGTCATTCTCTCCCAAAGTTTGCGAAAGCTGGTGTCACTGATGTACTTTCGTGAACAGCGCTTCGATATGACAACAAAAACGGTTGTATGTGCTTGTCCCAATCTCGTTGCCGATTGTCTACAACTTTTGCTAGGTATCCAATGTCTACTCTCTAGTCTAGTCTAGTCTAATGAACTAGTTTATCTGCAACTGTTGAAGCTTCTTGATTTGGAATGGCGAAGACTTCTGGCCACTTAGTGAAGTAATCCATCACAACCATGAAATACTTGTTACCGCTTTCACTCTCCGGAAAAGGCCCCGCCACGTCAATGGCTATTCTCTCCCATGGTGCACCAATATTGTACAACTTCAATGCACCTCTACTACGAGTCTGAGGTCCCTTTACAGCCGCACAACTTGTACATTTGCGACACCAGTCCTCGACATCGTTTCGACAGTGGACCCAGTAAAACCGTTCTCGGATCTTCAGTAGAGTTCGTTTAACTCCCAGATGACCTCCTGAATAATCATTATGGTACAGCTGTAGCACATTCGGCACTTTGGCTTTAGGCACAACCATTTGCAAATGACAGCTGTCTCCCTGAACATTTTCCCATTTACGGCACAGAACTCCATCCTGAAGCAGCAAGCTGTCCCACTGGGCCCAATAGCTTTTAGTGGTCGAACTCATCGCTGAGACGTCGCTCCACTTGGGCTTGGGAGCACTGGCCTTCATCCATTCCAGAATCGGCTTGATGTCCGGATCTTCCTGCTGTGCACGTTGTAAGCTGTCCTTCCACTCGTTGTTCTCGGTCACTCACTCGGTTTCCTCACGGATACCACTTCCTTACTCTCTTGCCTAGTACAATGTTTGCAATAATTAGGACAAGGTCTTCTTGACAATGCATCTGCGTTGCCATGAGATTTCCCGTTGCGATGTTCGATCTCAAAGTCGTATTCCTGCAGTAGTTCAATCCACCTCGCAACTTGTCCTTCTGGATTTTTAAACTGCAATAGCCATTTTAGTGCAGCATGGTCAGTTCGTAAGTGAAATTTCCGCCCCAGAAGATATTTGCTAAAATGCTGCAACGACTTTACCACAGCTAGCAATTCGCGTCTTGTGACACAGTAGTTCCTTTCCGGTTTTGACAATGACTTGCTGAAGTACGCTATCACGACCTCTTGGTCACCATTCCGTTGAGACAACACACCGCCAAGTCCTATATCACTTGCGTCTGTGTCAACTATAAATTCTTTGCTTGCATCAGGGTATCCCAAAATAGGTCTTTTGCACAGACGGTCAAGGACCGTCTGTGCAAAAGACCTATTTTCCTGGAATGCGATATTGCAACTTTCATCCCAGCAGAAATGTCGCTTCTCCTCGGTTAGCTTGTTTGGCTATATCTGCAAAGTTCTTCACAAATCGCCGGTAATAGGAGCACAAACCCAAAAATGCTCTAACCTGCGTCTTGTCTTTGGGAACGGGCCAATCCTTGACAGCGGCGATTTTCTCTGGATCCGTGCGGATACCTTCTTCCGATACTACATACCCCAAAAAGTTAACTTGCCGTTTGAATAGTGAACATTTCTTCAGACTCAACTTGAGGTTGGCACTCTGAATCTTCATGAGCACGCGTTCCAGGTTTTGAAGGTGTTCCTCAAACGTCCGGCCTACGATGATGATGTCATCTAAGTAAACCAGACAGGCATCGCCAATTAGCCCGGTAAGTACAAGTTCCATCAGCCTTTCAAACGTTGCTGGAGCATTGCACAACCAAAACGGCATTACCTTAAATTGCCACAGACCCTTTCCCGTCGAGAACGCAGTTTTCTCCTTGTCCTTAGGGTCAATTTCAACTTGCCAGTAGCCACTTTTTAGATCCAGCGTGCTAAACCACTTTACTCCTGTAAGCATGTCCAGCGTGTCATCAATTCTTGGTAAGGGATGGCTGTCCTTCTTCGTAACGTCGTTCAGACGGCGGTAGTCAACACAAAACCGCATGCTGCCATTCTTCTTCTTCACCAGTACCACTGGTGAACACCATGGACTAGAGGAAGGTTCAATAACACCATCTTTCACCATTCCTTCAATCATGGTTTCCACTTCCTTTTCACGTGCTACCGGCATCTTCTTGGCCGCTGACGGATAGGCAATTCTTCTCCTGTGTTTATTTTGTGTTGAACTAAGCCAGTCTTTCCAATGTCAGCATCGTTTGATGAGAATACATCGGCGTACTTGAGTAACAACTTCTTCGCCTTGACCAATTCGGTCGGGGAGAGAACGCTGCGACAGTCTTCCAAAAGTGTGGTCACTCTCGTTTGTGCATCTTTGCTGGGGGTCTCACTCGATAGATATTGGCACCGCCGTAACCAATCCACTTCCTCACAAGTACCAACCAGCGTGCCTTTTTCTATAATCTGTTCCCGGTCACAAAGGTTCAGCATACGTACTCCTAAGATGTCAGTGGTTCTGACCAAGGTTCGAGCTACTTTCCATGGAAGGTCATCGTTTACCCTTTCCACAAGTAAACAACGTGAGCTTGCCCATCGTTTCGGGGAAGACTAACCGGAACAATCGTTTCCGATCTCGGCGGAAGAACAATCTTCTTAATGCTATACACGTTCCCTGGTAACGCACCTTCCATAAAAAGTTCCTCTTGTCCACATTTCAAAACACCTTGCTTAACGTCGATCTCACAACAATTATTTCTCATAAAGTCTAGGCCTAGGATGCAGTCGTCCATTATGTCAGCCACGATGACATTATGCAGGTAGATCACGTTACCTAGCTTCAACTCCATCTCCTTCTCTCCACGGACGGGTATACGCTGACCGGTGGCTGTTACCAAATTAATGCGTTCTCGGTTGTATGCGGAGTCCCCAAGGAACTGACTTATAAGTTGGGAACTAACAACCGTACGAGTGGCTCCAGTGTCTATGGTCAGCTTACACGGCATTCCGTTGACCTCGCCCTTAATGATTAGACTGTTCCCGTCATGGGTTTGTGAGATCGAGATCCTTGGGGTTCTTTTGACATCAGCCAGCACCCGCCCCGCAGTGCTGGCTTTTACTCGTTTCCCTGCTGCTGCTGGGTGGTGCTGTTGGCCGCACTACCCTCCTGAGGTCGTTCACCTTCCCTTTCTAGGGTTCGCTTAGGGCAGCTGGATCGAAGATGGCCCTTTTCCCCACAGCCATAGCACCTAGGGCTGTATCCTTTGTTGCGGTCGCGTACTGTAGCTGCTGCAACCTCCCTGATGCGATGGGAACGATGATCCTGCCGCACGGCTTCCACCTCCAGTGCATGGGCCAAGGCGTCTTTAAGCGTCTCGTGGTGCCCGAGCCTCACAGCAGCTCTGACTTCCAGGTCGCGAATGCCGTCGAAGAATGTCTGCACCAGGTTCCCTTCAATGAGCGCAGGTACAGACTGGTATGCTTTTCGCACCAGCTTCTCCATCTCTAGAGCCCACTGCTGCAGGTTTTCGTTGCTGCGTTGCACGCGATCTCTAAGCTGCGCTCGAAAGACGTGTTCCAGGTGAGCGTCGCCATATCTAGCCTCCAATGCCTCAAGGAGCTGCTCGTAAGTCACTTCTTTACCGAGAGCTTCTAGAACAGTTAAGGCCCGGTCGCGCAGGCCTAGTGTGAGAGCAGTCATGGCCTGACTTTTATTCCAGCCGTTTGCCTTCATAACAGCCTCGAACTGGATTTTGTAAGCCGCCCAGGAAGAAGTCCCGTCAAACGGCGGCACTTTGAATCCACGTACTGCAGGTGTTGTAGCTACTACGGGATGTGTAGTTCCATCCCCCAGTTTGAGATCGTCCAGCGTTTTCTTCACATCAGCCACCACGTTGTCTACCCGATTGTTCACTTGGTCGATTTGGGTTTTAGCTTCCTTGATTTGGGTTTCAGCCTTCGCGATTTGGGTTTCAGCTTCCGACAGGCGGTTGTCATGCTGAGCAACCCTATCCTTAACCTCCTTTATCTCCTTCCCGAAGGTAGTGTGAAGATCCTTCATGAGGAGCATTTGCTCTTCCAACCGACGGGCCTGTTCCTCTTGTCCGCCCCGCAGCTGTTCTTCCAAACGACGGACCTGTTCTTCTTGTCCGCCCCGCAGCTGCTCTTCCAAACGACGGACCTGTTCCTCCTGCTGCTCTTTCAACAGACGGGCCTGTTCCTCTCGTCCGCGCTGCAGCTGCTCCTGTAGCATCGCCATCAGAGCACCTAAGTCAGGTGCTGCAGATGCAGGAGCTAATAACGGGCCCGCAGCCTCCGTGGCTGGCAGTTGGCCCTCCGACGTCTGCGCCGTTGCACCACCAAATCTTCTTTGGTCCGTCTCCTGCTGGCGTTGACTTCGGGTACGGACACCCTCCGTTTCCTCCTTAGGTAAAATCGGCATGATTTTATCCCACTTCTGACACCAATTGTTACGAGCTTGAGGTTCGTGACAATATTTATTTATTAACTTAATCAAACGCTTTCAAGGTATTATTAATGACAATTTTTTAAACAGACTTGTTATGAACTTAATATGTAATGTCATAAAAATCTTCCGCCTTTCGTTACAAGTATTGTAACAGCCTATCAAAGTCTAGTGCCGAACATAGGCTTCCCCCATAGATTTTGTTCATTGTCTCAGAATGAGAATATTTGTCATAGTTGCTACGTTTGTGAGGCGTTTGTCATCCTCGATTTCTTATATTTACGCGAACACTACACATTTAAAAAAAAACTAGTTTTTACGGATTTTATCGCGTATATTAAACTTATATTATATTCCCGACGTTTCGAGCATTTTACAGCACCCATTTTCTGTATATATTACTCTACTCTATGGCACCCATGGTCACGGGGAGACTGAGGTGTTTGACGTCCCGATGTCATAGTTAACCATGGAGGTTAGAGGGAAGGAGAACGATTGCTGTATAAAATATAGTCCCAGAAATATGGAGAAAATAATTGAGGCGCTGCGATCGCTAAGTTGTCTCAATTAAAGTCATTTTTAGTCTATTTTTCCGATCAGATCCTAAACCACTTGCACATCCGCGCCCAATACAATATTTTACCATTTTTTAATATTTCTTTTTGTCAAAAATTAGAAAATTACGGAGCACAATTATTGTCTCACCAATGCCGCGAAGAAAATTTGTACATTATTCAACTAACTTCATATATTTGTACTCATAAACAGCTAACTTCGCAAATACTACTTACCGACGGCAGTTTAGGGCCAGGCAGGCTATGCTTTAGCATGTAGCGATCGTTCTCCTCTCTAACCTCCATGTAGTTAACCGTGGTTACCCACAGATAAAAATTATTAATTTTTGTTCCGATCTATGCAGTATTAACTTATAGTATCTTGAAGATATTGTTATATTAATTATAGGATCCCAAGCAGATGGTAGCACCCAGCCATCTTCTCTATTGAAATTAGGATGTTTTTTGATTTCAATAGCCTCGCGAATCATCCTTGGAAGGAATCGATGTTCTTTAACAAGGATTTGTGGTCTATAAAATCTGATGTAGTGACGGGGGTGATCCTGTACATGTTCACAGCGGACTTCCCGGAGCGTCGATTCTTCACATCGGCTATGTGTTCTTTAAAGCGGGTTTTAATTGATCTTTAAAGATAAATTAAAAGTGCTTGAAACGTCGGGAATATAAAAAGTTAATATACGCGATAAAATCCGTAAAACCTTGTTTTATATAAATCGCAGTTTTTTGTACGCTGCCGCCATATTCTGGTAGGTTTTCCTCTGTCGCCACTTACGACACTCACGGACATTTGGAAGTGGATATTCTTGCACTGCTAGTAGCAGGTACTGCTTTTATCATATCCGAATTATAGCAGTTTAACCATCTCATTTTCGCGAGACGTATATTACCAAGCCGTCGAAGGGCAGTAGCGTCAAATGTGCGAGACTTCTAGTACTGCCATCGCAAAGCGTCTGTGAATCTTGACAGGTGAATCCTTCGTGAAAATAAGAAAATAAAAACTGTTTTTTTTTTTAAATAGAATAAGCGTGACAAACGACCACACAGTGAACCTGATGGTAAGTGGATGCTGTGGCCCATAGACATATACATTTAACATCGATTAAGAATCAAAATGCAGATGCGTTGTCACCCCCGAGGACTAAGATGGAATGCCTCAATTCCAGTAAAACGGGTCTCCGGTTCTCTACACTCACCATACGAAACAGCAGCATTAAGTTGCTATTTTACGCCGCTATTCTGTGAGAGCGTGGTCCTTCCCCGGTCGAACCGACCCATTTATGCTACAGCCATAATATAGCTGCAGGGTGGCTCTACCACATATAAAAATGTGATTGCAAATATCCCCCTTTTGATCAAAGGGAGGTTCAAGTTCAGCATTGGACTTTCATAGGCTAATTAAATAGACGGATGGAATAATATACATAGAAACAACTGCTTCTATTTCTAACAAAACACTCCCAGCGAACCCCACACACCAGCACGGAATGAAGATTATCTTTAACTTTCAGATAACGCCTAAGCTCCTCCGTTTGACGTGGGAAGGGTATCCTTTACACTTTATCCAGGGTGAAGGCTGGGGCTTTCTAGTTCCGTTTAGCAGAATTCAACAAGAGACAGAGGGAGAACCGCGGTTACCTTTGGAGCAGCTTTTAGAATCATGTCCCTTGGTTCAAACGCCTAAGGAGCTTGATAGTGAATTGTATGTGTTGCCTAAGACTGTTGAGGTAGGTTAAAAGTTTACCTGCTTTCATTATATTTGCCAACAGAATGCCTTAATAGTGAGATAAGCTGCCACTTATATAAAATTTTGGTTAGGAACACTGTGATTATTACCCATACAGAACGGTCCCGACTTGTACCGTCTTGTATTTTTCGGCTAATTGTTTCTTTATGTACGCACCATTAGGCAGATTTTACTTTGGGGTGTAAGGCTGAGAGTTATATTAGTTCTTTTTCCTATTATCAACCTCAGTTGCACTATGTTGATAAATGGATGAGACTCTGACCAACTGATGGTTAAAAATTCAAATTTCAATTATTACTACAATATAATGAAGAAGAGTATTACTAGAAAGGGAAGGTGAGAGTAGGTTCTGACCTCAATGGCCCATTTGTACAGCTTAGTGGGCGCGGGCAAATCTTTTTTAAAATCAAGTAAGTGTGGAGTAAAGGCTGGCGATGTGATATTCTTTTTTAACTACTATAAGAGAGTTCTTTATTACTATCTCGCCTGATGGTAAGTGGTTACGCAGCCGTAAATAATAAAGCGCACTACTTAGCTTAACAAAGGCCTATTTCACTCTTGCTTTGAAAACATCCACGTAATCTGATGGAAAGAGGTGCTTGCAAATTGTTTCACTCCTTATCAACACATTATAAACGACGAGGCTTTGTATTTTGTAATATAGAATGAGAGAGATATACGAGCACACAGTCCACCTGATGGGAAGTGGATGCTGCGGCCCATAGACATCTACATTTATCCTCGATTAAGAATCAAAATGCAGTTGCGTTATCACCCGTGAGGACCAAGATGGCTCGGATGCGTGTTGTGCCGATAATAAGAGGTAGAGAATGGCTGGTTGTCTGATAGTGAAGGGATAGTACAGGATCAAAAGACGACTTAATGCTAAAATCATTTTTGTATCGTGATCTGTGTTATTATATTTATTATATATTATATTTTTTAATAATAATTTTAATAATATACTTATATTATTAAATATATACTTAATTATAAATCAAATAATAATTTTTTATATATTATAATAATATATATTATTTTATACAATTTATTTATGCAGTATTTTTTTTCTTTGATATTAATTCAAGTCACACTTTTTGAGCGTGGTGACCGATAAGAAACCAATTTTTTTTTCTTTTATTGAATAAATGAGAAGTTAATATTGTTTGAAATATATTTATTATCTTACAATACATGTTATTCAGGTTATTCGGGAATTTTTCTCATTGAAAATATAGGTTTATGTTAATTAACGAGTTCTTCCGAAAAACGATAATTTTCTATAAAGTCTGTGTTTATTAAATAGTCTAAATTCACGAAAGTTGCTAGCATAACGACGACTCATATAAATCCAAAGAATATGCTTCTTGCAATAAACATTATATTATTGTTTAAACTATTTTTATTATCTTACAATACATGCAACTAGTCTACACGCATGCATCTAGTGCATACGCACACAATCACCGTGCCGAAGTCTGCCGAACTAAAACGACGTTAGCCGATGTTAGCTTTTGAGGGGTTTTCCTTATGGAATTTCTTGATTCGGTCGCCACGCTCAAAGCCCGTCCATTGCTCAGTTCTCCCGCTCGTAAATTATCGAGTAAATCAACAGTCTGCATCTATTTGCAGACACATCATGTTGCGATTAAGTTTGCAAAATACAAATATGTGCAAGTAACTTGAAACAATATATTATGATATACATTTATTATTCTCATATGATATTCACGTATGAAGATGCACACCTAAGATATAACCGGATTGAAAACTACTACACAGGTGAAAAGTTACCAAATGAAACTTGTCGTTACTTGCAGGAGGACCTTAGTAGACGTGCGTACTACGCAAGAAAAAAGGTCGATGAGCAAGCAGCGGCGAATCAGTATCACGGCTTAGGCGTCTGGTGTGGAATACAGCTGCAAGGTTTGTAGATAAGATAATATATTTTGAAACTGTTCTACACCGGGTTATCACGAAGTATTCTTTCAAGATTTACGTACTTAATATAACAAAATTAGTAACATGTAGCAGCATCTATATTTTTTTTATAGGATTGCATGACAAACGAGCACACAGTCCACCTGATCGTAAGTGGTTACTGTAGCCCATAGACATCTATGTCTACCCTCGATTATGAATCAAAATGCAGATGCGTTGTTACCCGTAAAAAGACTAAGATGTAATGTCTCATTTCCAGTAAAAAGGTTCTCCGGTTATCTACACACACCATACGAAACACAGCAGCATTAAGTTACTATTTTACGCTGGTATTCTGTGAGAGCGTAGTCCTTACCTGGTCTAACCGACTCATTCGTGCTACAACTATACTACGAGTACTAATATAACTGCAGCGTGGCTCTACCATGTATAAAAATTTATACTAAACTGAACAACTAAAATCAGAAATATAGTAAATAATATAAAGTTACCATTACGGATTGTCAAAAATCCACTACTGAGCATATGTCTCCCCAGAGATTTATTAGGTGCCACGCTTGGCAAACGTGTGTCCGTCATAAGTTGAAATCCGTTTCTTAAGACACATCATACTATAAAGCTTGGGAGAAATTAAGTCCAACTTAGTTTTTACAGTTGGTTAAAAGTAATGATAAAAAAGAAAAATACCAGTACAAATTTGAAATACTTGCAGGCTGCTGTCACTTTTTAAGGTTACCCCATAAAGACGGCCCAAAATATAAAGTAGGCAATCCTCTGGCGAAAGATTTCCTGAACATGTTCAGTCAGAACGTGCTCTCGGCGCAGGGTAATGAGGCTGAAAAGGTAACCAATTATTCTGTTAGTACTGTATTATTGTTGATACCTGTATAACATGCATACGAGAATAGTTAATTTTATAGTAATAAATGAATGAGATTATTCATGATAGAGCTTTGTAGACCTAAACAGTCTTACCACAAAAAAGCATTTAAACACTGGTCCAACATGTGTTTAGTTAGACACGGACTTAAATGATAAACACATGTTAAACAATGGTTTAAATTTCGCTACCACTAAACAGTGTTTAACGCGTGCCTCTATAGACAACGTTTTACTTTATTCATCAGGTCACACTGCAATGCATTCGTTTGTTTTACGCAAATTAATACGACTAACTATGTAAAAATTATATTTTTTTGTCTCAAAGTTCGATAATAAATATATATATATATATATATATATATATATATATATATATATATATATATATATATATATATATATATATATATATATATATATATTTGTTAAATTTTCATGAGTTGTTTTACTTAGGAAAAAAAAAACAAATACGATTTGCAAATAATAGGCAAACATACAGGCCGATGGGTGAAGCTATTCTTCTCTACCGACGCCACACAAAAGCATAGTTTAATTGTGTATGAATCGAACTTACTTGATGACGAGCCCACTACCGTAATGCACAAGCCACTTGCACTGCTGGATCTATGGTGTTACCACGAGATTCACTCAGGATATCGTCTTTCACAAGATCTAATATTTTTCTAGCAAAAAGTTTGCTGAACCCACATTTTTCCGTTTGAAAAATACGACGACGACGACGTATTTAGTCGTTAATCGTCGGATTAACCCTCATACGAACCGTATTACTTTCTCAGAACATTTCTGCATAGTTATCCATGTCGTCTGCTAAGAAGTAATCAACAAAATCAATTATATCCATGTTAAATAAAAATACTGAACTGACGGAAAGATAGGTTAGACACTAGTTAAACAAGGGTTTGCGGCTGTTTAAATTTAAACAACGTCCAAGCCGTGTCCATCCATAAACCACCGTTAAACACTCTTTTGTAGTAACCAATTTGCTAAACACGTGTTGAACAGATGTCTAACTTTTTTGTAGTAAGACAGAAAATGTTTGATTAAAAAAGTAAAGGTAAGTGTCGACTTTTCCAAATGTCTCTTCAGTACGTAGTGTACTGTGCTAACAAGGATGTGTCACTAAAATAAGAGTGCTCGCCGCGTTGCCCTAATACCTGTTGGTAGATTTCATGTTACTCCTTTTTAATTTCTCAGGTGTGCAGTTTTTCTCATGATGTTGGTTCGCAAATATCGGAGAAAAAAAAAACTCTTATGACTATGCCTGATCAGGCAATAGAAAGGCTATCCTGGACTACTGCTGGCTAAATCCCCATGATGGCAGGGTCGCTATGTAATTGTTGGAAAGGTGTCAATGAGATTGAAATTCTTTGATCTGTCTAGGACTTTAATAAGACTACTCTTTCTTATTCTTAACTTAGAAGGCTTCACTACACTACACCTCTATCAGCGTATACGAGATGTGCTTTAAATAAAGCAAAGCGAGAGAGGGCTCCCCGGTTGCGTTCCTAACAGAGATCTCGGGATCCCTCGTATACGCTAACTTCAGAGTATAGTCTTAAGCCGGCAACATATGTTGGCCAAGCCTCAACCAACGCGAGCTTTGGCTAATTAATACAAGGCGAGTGCTAAGGTTTACATGTTGGCCAAGTTTGAATGAGTGGACATATTGACATGACCGACTAACATGTGGGCACGACTTGCCGAGTGCAGGTTAGCGCCTTTGATTTGTGCAGGAAAACCGACACTGTTCCGAAGTGAGGTGAGTCGTGGAGTGATATGGCAAGGTACGCCGAACGAACCATATATACAACATGTAACAAAAACCCTGTGGTTTCAGTTAGGTGCGTTATCAGAATCAGTATTCAAGCGTACAGAAATAATGTTTTTTTTTTTCAAAAAAAAAAAACATTTAAAAAAATTGTTTTAATAAAAAAATGAATTTGCAAATTGTATGTGGTTTTATTAACTCTGAATTGGCCGAGGAGTAAGAGGATTGTCAAAGACCCAGCATTACCGATACTCGTGTGACTGAGTGGAAATAAAACCACATACAATTAGCAAATAATTTTATTTAATTAAATTAAAAAAAAATATATGGTCGAATTTTCTGAAAAAAAAATACTATGCGCTTGAATACTGATTCTGATAAAGCAGTTAACGGGAACCACAGGGTTTTTGTTACATGTTGTATATGCTGGCGCTCGCTTGCACTCGGCCAACTATGCGAGCGACGACGAGCAATGGTGAGTCTAGACAAATGGGGTGTCTACACGTTGTTACTCGCCTTCGCTCGCCCAACATGTATAGCTGGCTTTATAACGCGCGTTTTTTAGTATTCGAGTTATGGAGTGTAGAAGTAAGGAGTACAGACTGTGTATTAAAAAGTGTCCATAGAAAACCGTTAAATAAGGGTGGCGCCACTATAACTACGGGGTAAATTTTAAAGAACGTGCCGAAAAATATTAGTGGGATAAACGACTTTTTCGAGGTTATATTTACTAAATAAAATTATTTTAGATTTTAGAGCTACTGAGCAGTTTAACAGCACACTTCAAACCGTCGACAACTGCTAAATTCATTTCATCATAGTAGCTACTCCAGCGCTGTTGTGGAGAGTTTTTGAACTGTTATTTACTGCTAACAGATGGCCACTTTTAAACTATTCTACTATGGGAGTTGGTACTCCTTACTTCTACACTCCATAATTTGAGTGTTGTTGGCTCTGATATGTCTCTGACATTGTGTGACAATTTCATTGCATAAGCGTTCTAAAAATGTTTCAGGTAAAATTTTCTTACAGATTAAAAAAGAATTACTAACCTTGATTATTTATAGGTATTAACTTTCGCACGCATGATGTCCTATTGGCGGAATAACCGCGAGCGAATCCGCGCGCAGCAAGTTGTATGGCTGCCGCCTCACTGTCTACCCGCCGCGTTACGCGACAACCGATCTTACGGCGCTATCATACCGCAGGTTGTTGTATGCGGTACTCTCACTAGGCGGTAAGTATAAAGTATAATTATCTACATTTAAGTAATTCGAATGCTAAGACATATTTCTTAGATATATTTAAAAAACATAGAGCAACATGGGCGGACCCGACGGGAGTAGCCATACGCAGGTGTTCCCTTCTGTTGATGTATAAGTCCACCTGGTCCTATGCGTACAATAAAACTAGTTGCATTCGCACAAATGTAGTACAAAAATGCCGAATTGTTTAGTTTTTGCTGCAAAACGAGATCTGACGTCAAATATACAAAAAGATTTTCATATTTAAATAATTTTAATCACATTTTCTAATCTTAAAATTTACAATAATAACCGTCGGGTTGTTTCGAATTTGTTTACCAACATAGGCCGCTCAGCCTCATACAATATGCGGATCTGACTGACAGATTGTTTTTTTTTATAGAATTTTATGCTATAGGTAATTTTCGTAGTAAGAGACGGTTGTTTTTGTATGCGCAGATCGAAAAAAAGAATTTGCGGTAAGAGGTCTGCGCTCATAAAACCAAAAAAAGAAGTTTTGTATCGGGAAAAAACACTATAGCTATAACTATAACTGCTCTTCGGTTCGCCGGTGGCCCGTGGGGCTCTATGATTAAAAAGGACGAACCTTTCATTGCTGTATGTTTTGTAACTATTCTGCTTATTTGCGTACAGCCTTTGAGAGGTGATACTCTAATTCAGAATTGCTCGATTCTCGCCGGATCCCCAAAAATCACGGACTCTGAAAATAAAAAAATTTCGAAGATATGAAGTCCGCCTCCACACTCAAAGGAGAAATTTCCTTCTCAAAAATGAGAGGAGGCCTGTGCCCAGCAGTGAGACGTAAATAGGCTGTAACTTCATTTATAGTACAGTCATTGTGAGTGAAATATATATATATATATATATATATATATATATATATATATATATATATAAAATACTTCACTTCATGCTCACTTATATTATTAGATGGACTTCACGGTCTTTTAAAATCCTATCTCCGGTCTTCTTACTTTGAACGCTTTCAAACTTTCCCTTACATGTCTATGATGAGTTAGTCTAATCATAGTGAACTTAAAACAAAAAATCTATTGATACTTTTACATTCGCCAGAGCTAGCGAGCCCACGTGGATGACCGCAAGCAACGCGCACAAGGAACGTATCGGCTCGGAGCTACGTGCTATGGTCCAAGCACCGCCTGGCTACAAGTTTGTTGGCGCTGACGTAGACTCACAGGTATTTGTTTATACAGTAAGGGGGACAAACGAGCACACAGCCCACCTGATGGTAGTTGTGGAAGTGGAAATGGATGATCTGACCCATAGACACTTTCATCCATCCTCAAATAAAAATCAATACTCAGATACGTGCTCGCCCCTACGGACTAAGATGGAATGCCTGGTTACCAGTGAAAATTTTCACTTACTTACTTACTTACTTATCTTCACGCACAATCCCTAACGAGGTAGCCAGAGAGAACAGATCGCAAAGTGTCACGATCCTTACATACCTCTTTCGCTTCTTTCAGGTTCATTAACTTCTGCATACATGCACGTCTAGGTATCCGAGTAATCTTGACCCTCCCTCTCTTCGAGCAATTTGCTCACATGGTCTTCGAAAGTTAGTCTCGGTCTACCTCGACACCTTTTAATATTTACTTTCGCTCTATATATTTTCTTCACCATTCGGTCTTCACTCATTCGTTCAACGTGCCCCAACCATTGGAGTACGCCCCTATCAATTTTTGTGATAAGGTCATCTTTCAATCCTGCCATATTGCGAATCTCTTTGTTTCGTTTTCGGTCGGCTATGGTAACGCCACACATTTTACGAAGAGATAGCATCTACACTGCATTCAACTTGCTTTTATGCTTCTTCTGGCATACCCAGGTTTCGCTGCCATATAACAAAGTCGGTACCAACACTGCATTATGTATTGCAAGGCGTGCACTCTTCACCAAGCCTTGCCTTTTTACTAATGCATTCAGGGCACCATTGACTTTGTTTCCGGCAGCGACACGCCTATCCACATCTAAATCACATCTTCCATCCCGGCTGAAAGCACTCCCCAAGTATACAATTTCATTTACCTGTTCTAGACATTCCTGATTTACCCATATTTCACATTTCGTTCTCTCTTCGTCCTTTTCAAATACCAGAACCTTAGTTTTATTAGCATTCAAACGGAGACCTTTAATTTCACATTCCTCTTTCATACACGTGACTAATGCCTGCAGTTCTGCTTCTGATGGTGCAATAAGCACTGCATCATCAGCATACAGCAGACAATTAACTTTTATGTCACCCAATTTCACACCCAAACAGCTATTTATCAGCTTCTGTAAACAGCTGTCGAGATACAGTATGAACAGCCAGGAAGACATGACACAACCCTGTTTTACGCCCGCTTGGACGCTAAACATGGGTGACAGGTCATGGCCTACCCGCACACAGGCTTTACATTCATAGTAAAGTGACTGCACAGCCCTTAACAATCGACCATCCACACCATATCCCGGCAACAGTTCCCACATTTTCTTCCTTATAACCTTATCAAATGCTTTCTCCAGATCCACAAAAGCACAGAAAATCCTCTGGTTAACACTCAGAAGCTTCTCCGTGATCATGCGGAGAGAAAACTTTTGATCCGTGCATCCTCTTCCAGGTCTAAATCCGCATTGTGCCTCCCATAAGAATCTTTCCGATTTCTCTTGCATCCTACGTGTCAAAACCTTCGAGTAAACTTTACTTGCTAAACTGGTCAAGCTGATCGCCCGATAGCACCCGCAGTCAAAATGTGAACCTTTACCTTTATATAAAGGCACAATGACCGCAGATCGCCAATCATCCGGGACATCTCCCGTCCGCCAGCACAAATTGCACAGCAGATGGAAGCTGTCCCAGACGCGAGGCCCACCGGACTGGACGATTTCAGCAGTAACTCTGTCTAGTCCCGCAGCCTTACCACATTTCAAACTTCGAATCGCACGTTCAATCTCTTTCATGCTGATGACCTCAGTGTCGTCGAGGTCCGTGTCTGGCGTGCCGTCACTGGTAGCGCACGGACCTCACTTCTAAAATTTTCACTAGTTCTTACGATACGAAACACAGCAACCTTATATAATATAGCCTCACTATAACAAGCCGATTCATCCCCACCATGTTGTAGTTAGCCGAGGTATTTGCTGTATTGATATTTTCAATTTGTATAACCCACGCACAGAAGGTTCAGGTATCAGTAGATAGTGTCATGAAGCTCTGCGTATACATTCGCGCCGACAGTCGTTAACGCTAATAGCAAATAAGGAATCAAGGTAAGTTACGTGTTTTCATTCATTTACTATGTCTGCCCTCGATTATGAATCAAAATGCAGATGCGTTGTTACCCGTAAAAGGACTAAGATGTAATGCCTCATTTCCAGTAAAAAGGATCTCCGGTTCTCTACACTCACCATACGAAACACAGCAGCAATAAGCTACTATTTGACGCTGGTATTCTGTGAGAGCGTGGTCCTTCCCCGATCGAGCCGAGCCATTCGTGCTACAACTATACGACTCTAGATACTCAAGAATGAGTTTCATAATATGTATGCAAAATTACAATTGTCTAATAGTTTTTGGGTTATTATATACACATTGCTGGTACATCTGTCTTTTCTTTCTCGAATTTGCGAAGGTTATAATAATGTCCTCTAGATCAAATCTCGGTCTCGACGGCCAGTCTCAACGGATACTAGCCATTTGCGCAGCACAGGATTATAGTGCTCGAGTGTATGCGCAAGCACAAGTTCACTATCTATTCCCTCATTCACATAGTTCGCTGGCACGGTAATCCAGCACGACCGTACGAGGTGCTTTCCGAGCCACGGGGATGCAACACTGCCAACTTTCAGAGTCCGGGCTGCTACTAAGAATTTCTTGATAGAAAAACCCAACTTGTATTCTTATATATTAATAAGAAACGCAATAAAGAATAAATAAATAAGTAAATAACTGATTTTGGTCCGACCCGGGATTCGAACCCGGGACCCCATGATCAGCAAGCTCGCTTATGATCACTAGACCAACGAGGCAGACCAAAAAGATTATAAATTAAGTCAACATCTAATTTCGTAGGAGTTATGGATAGCGGCACTTTTAGGAGATAGTAGCCTCGGCATTTGCGGCGGAAGCCCGTTCGGCTGGGCTGTGCTCGCCGGGGACAAGAGCCACGGCACAGACCTGCATTCACTCACCGCGAAAGCGGCGGGCGTCAATCGGGACCACGCCAAGGTCATTAACTACGCACGGATATACGGTTATTATTTTATTTTATTGCTACAACGGCTAGTTGTTTGTTACATCACGTTGCACGAGAACGTTCCCTAAGATAAGCGTCAATGGCCTCTGTCAAGCTAATAAAATATGTATGCATGAAAATATATAACGTTCAAACTAGTGATGCGAGCAAGATGTAACCTTATGTTTATATTAATAAAACCCTTTTTCCTTTGGACACACTTATTGTTGTATTGTTATGTAATTGCGAATGTTCTATCATCTTCCGATTGAAAGAGTGGAATGACCCGGATTGACCTAGAATGTTCTACATTACTCTTCTTGGATACATCGCGATATCTCTAAGACACAACAAGTTAATTAGGCTTTTGTTCATAGAGCAATACGGGCCGCCGACGTACCGGAGAAAGTAACCATAGTAGTCATGTAGGTTTATTGTCGTCACTTAAACGTTGTCTAATTTCTTTTTCACAAATCCAACTACAAAAAAATCCTAATTACAAAAAGTCTTCCATATATCCCTTAAGCTCTGATTTTTAGAAAATCTGCAATAAATAAATAAAAAAACAATATGGTCGAATTTCACACAAGTTTACACTTAGTACTTTTAATATTTATTAAAACTCGTAAATATTATTCGTATTATATTTAATTTGATGCATTTTTAATATTAAACAATATTATAATAAAGCAAATGTACAGTATACACAATGTATAGTACCTGGATGACCGAGTTTTCCTCGTTTTTTTTCGGAAATTATATTTAGATACGAATTACATACTGATGAAACATTAATAATATTTTTTGATCTTATTGATATAATAGAAAAAACTGAACCGGTTATTTGAATATAAATCATGAGTGCAATTGGTTTAATTAAAATTTTCTTATTTTTAAAAATACTAAAAAAGGGGCTCGGAATAATAGATTTTTTCACAAAACAAGGGAACTTGAAAAAAAAAAGGAAAAAAGTCGGACCGAAGACAGGATGCGAACCAAGGCATTTCTTCCTCTCCAGGCGATTCCTTGGTTTATTAGTACTAATGTCATTATGAATTACTTACATATGAAAGGTAACGTCATCTTCTTGTAAATGTGACGTGGTAGATCTCTTTTCCAGCAATAAACTGAACTGGGCATTATTGTAGGAAGTTGATTCAGCCGCCGACTAGATATAGCCTAGTGAGCAGTGCAGCTGCAACTAGATTTGTGGACTTGTACTTTGACGTAAAGACCGATTTACACTTCGACAAGTACAGTAGCGAGTTAACTTGCGAACCTGGCGAGTTAAGTTTGAACCTCGTTTGAACGGCAATAAGCGAGTTAAGTAGCAAGTTAACGATTAAGTTGAACGGGATAGCAGGCCGAGCTATTTTTCGGCGAGTTAAGTGCGAAGTGCTGCCCTCCCGCTACCCTCCCGCCACCCGCAACTAAACTCGCCGTTCGTGTAAACGAGCGAGTTTAGTTCAGTGCATAAGTTGACAGGACGCAACGTTTGCGCGCCAAAACGTACAATTATACTTTTGTAATTAAACTCGCCACAAAGTTTGTACGATACTGTTTATTGAATATTTATACGATTTATATTAAGTTTTAATAATAAAATGGATGGAAGATATCACGTATAAATATGTACAGGAGTATTTAGAAAACGAATGTTTATATAATTGTAGAAGTTCTAATTGTAAAATTAAATCTGCTCGAGATGTTGCACTTATGAAAATTCTTAAAAACTTCTTTAACAACAACCATTAAAAATTCTCTGACTGGATCATTTAATTCTTGACATAATCCTAAAACCATCATAAACGAAAACCAGAAAAATTCTGTAGTCTTGAAACGTCATACTCCCACAAACTTTATGAACTAATGTCCACTTAACCGTTTACTGTCACCTGCCCTGTAACTAAACTCGCTACTGTACTTGTCGAAGTGTAAATCGGTCTTAAGGAACGCGTGCATGTGGCTACTCCCCGCCATTCCGCCGGTGACCCGTGTGACTCTAAGTAAGGCATAGTGTATAGAAGAATTAAAGCCCCGACATCAACATTTTAAATTATTTTATTGTTTTTAGTTCCTTGAAGTCCGCTTTTATTTTTTATTAAAAGTTACTTTTTTACCCTCTTTAGTGGACAAAGAAACATCACAACGTCAATGTCTTCTAAATAGTACCAAACTTCATTATCTGCTATTTTGCCACCCCAAGGGGTGGAACGTTTTTGCTAAATTTTTATAGTACCACTTCGGCGAGACGTAGCTCAGATGGTTAGTACTCGCTGTAAATTTCACAGTACGCGAGCAAACCTGGTTCGATCCCCGCCGGCACCAATGAAATTGTTAATTACAATTTTAAGTGATGATTTAGCGCGTGCTTGGCGGTGAAGGAAAACATCGTCAGGAAACCTGCATGTCTGAGAAATAAGAAAAAATTTTTTTCGAAGACATATGAAGTTCGCCAACACGCATAGGGGCAGCGCGGCGGACAATTCCTTGCCCTAAAACCCTCTCAGAAGTGAGCTGGGAGGCCTGTGCTCGGAGTGGGACGTATATAGGCTGTAACTTTAACTTTTAACTCTTGAATTAGACCCTATTTAAAAAAATTAAAATCTTCAAGTAAAAGTAACAAACATACAAAAAATAGTAAGTCGTGTAAACCTCCTCATTTTTTAAAGTTGCTACTAATATACTCAAATCACAACATCATACATAATACAACAATTCATCATTGTGACGATCCATCAATATGCGTGCGTGCGTGCATGCATCTCGCCGTGTTTCTCTCTTTTATGTCTCTCTCTATCTCTTTCACACTGCGGTTGTGAGTCTGTTTGTGCGCTTAAACAAAGTACAAAAATGTGCATGGATAAATTATTTTTTAAGTGTAGATTATAGTAACCGTGTAGTGGCGGTATAAGAATATCCACTATCCTGTATCGTCCCGTGAGTGTCGTAAGAGGCGACAGAGAGAAACTAAAACAGAATATGGGCCGCAGAATCTTACTGATAACAACTCAAATTAATAAAAAAAGCTGCGGCTGCCATCCTGCCTGTCAAGCGTGGCAAGTTGCCACTGCCACTGGCAACTATTGCAAAATTCTCCCTACGATGCAATCTATAAGAGAAGTGTATATGTGGACTCTTATAGGCTATTATGGATGTATGGGATATTTAATAAATTGACATTTTGAATAAAACTATTATTTACGGATTTTATCGCGTTTAATTACTTTAATTTATTTTTATTATTATCCCGACGGTATGAAAGTAGCCGGACTAACTATGACATTGGGACGTCAAACATCTCAGTCCCCCCCGTGACCATGGGTGCTGTAAAGCACCCGAAACGTCGGGATAATAATAAAAATAAATTAAAGTAATTAAACGCGATAAAATCCGTAAATAATAGTTTTATTTAATGTGTGGTGTTCGCGTAAATTTAAGAAATTGACATTTTATTATAGGGGCCGGACAAAACTTTGCCGAGCGGTTACTGAAACAGTTTAATCCTACTATGACGATATCGGAAGCGAAGAGCAAAGCGGCCAAAATGTTCACGTCGACAAAGGGAAGGAGAGTGTATACGCTGAAGAAGAAGTATATGGAAGGGCTAATGGATGAGGATTTGGAAGGCAAGGTATACGAATTTTTGATTAACTAGCGACCTAGATCTATTAATGTAATGTTGTTTAGGTTTAAGATAATAATCAAAGATCATTTTTTTAATTATTTATTTGTTTACAATGAAATCTACAAGTTTTTTCCTCGCCATGAGATCTGTTAAATGTTTCACGTCATTTCAAAGTGACGCCGCCATTTTGGTAAAAAAGGTTCAGGAAGTTTAATTGAAGGGAATTAGGTCAATGTAAGTAGTAATTACTAAAAATGATTGTAAAGAGGAGTGCATGATATATTGGAAGGAAACATTTTTCTAGACCAAAGAGGTTACTCGATTTGTAAATGTAGTTTTTGGTATTACACTATATGTATCTAAAAATTATGAAAAATATGACAACACTACAGGTGATGGAAATGTCAGCGTATCAAGCTATGCGCTTGGCGAAACTGAGCAGCAAACAAGTTGAAGACATGTTTGAGCGTCCGAAGTGGGTGGGGGGCACAGAGTCTGACATGTTCAACAAACTGGAGGAGATAGCCGGTACGTTTTTATTTTTATTTGTGTCAAAAGCTTAAAATCTTAACTTTAGTGCTTGATCACGTTAACACGTGGGTACGGTGGCGGGCGCGGTCACTAAATATCAAACGCATAGCATTATATGCGTAGACAGAGAAACCTATAGACTAATGATTAGTGTGGCCTAGAGTGAGAAAGGGTGATAACGTAGTTTTAGGTTGTACAATAATCTTTATGACTTTTAAACATATTTAGATAAAAAATTTAATTGTTCTAAGAACTGAATTGAACAAGATTCACTAATCTTAAGCTCACAACCAATTTGTAAACTCCTTAGATCGCTACGATTTGTCAATGTAGCAAAGTGTAGTTTGCTAAACAAAAAAAAAACGGCACGGAGAAAGCGACAAACAATCACACCGCTCTGTCTCATTTCTATGCAAGACGTAAGCGTAAATCTATCTTTTTCGTGTGCGAATGCGAAAGAAGGCGTCAATTTGCCTATAGGTTTCAGACAGATGGCGACTGGCGTGTCCGGCGCGCTCGCGGCAATATCAAACGTATGCAGTTGTTTGTGTGTGTTCTCCTCCAACTGTGATCCTGGTATATAAAAAATCTTTATCATCAGGATATTCTCTCAAATTACTGTATAACGTATGAAAATAACGAAACCGTTCTCTTTCTTTGTCAATTTCGTGCACACCGATAGTACTTTTTGTAATTTCCCACTTTAGGTAAGAATTTTCGATTAAAATAAAAGATCGTTGTCCATGTTTACAAACTCTGACAATACGTCACACTCGCACAAACGCCTGGCGGACAACGTGAACACGAACTTGCCCACTGTGTACGCGTGTTCTACATGAACAAGCGCTTTTTTGTATATAGAAGAGGCGCAAACGAGCATGCGGCTCACCTATGTAAGTGACTACCACGCCCATGAACAATCGCAAAAACAAGGGAATTGCAGATGCGTTTCCGGAAAGGAGTAGGTAAGCTCATTTCTCGAGGGTCCCGAAGTCTTATAAGGAAGACACCAAGACCACAGAGAAGTTGTATAAGGAAAAAAACTAGTAAAACGCACGGTGGTGAACCGCCAAGCATCCAGATGGTGAGGTTAGTATTGTGAATTTTGACGCGATGTGTGTTAGTGATAATTGGCGGCTGGAATTAATCCGAACAATTCCTCAGAGCAGTCCCCGTGGTAACTGCGATAGAAAAATCAAAGAGATGCAACATCCCTACGCATCGCCAGTGAATCGAGCCGATCAGAAAGGACTCGGTCGTCAAAGATTCGAACCGCTCTGTGCTGGGTACGATCAAGTGGTACGAGCCGAGCTGACACTGGGGAACCCCGGCCCAGAGATGAGAACAGTATTCCGTGTGAGGCTGAACTTGCGCTTTATAGACTTGCAAGCGATGTGCCGACTTGAAATACTGTCTCACGCTGCTGAGCACGCCAAGATTTTTAGAAGCCAATTTGGCCTTCCCTTCCAAGTGAGCACGAAACTGCTTACTATTCGATATGTCTATGCCGAGGGATCCGATGCTACACAAACCATGGCGAGTACAGCCTCCAATAGGCACCACAGATGATGGAGTAAATAGTTCCATTCCTTGAAGTACCACATCAGCGAAAGTATCAGCAACAACCATTGGGGGCGGTTTTGCTGGCGCTGCCCGCAGCAAACCTGCCCCCAAGGGTAGGATGCAAAAAAGACCGTATCCTACCCCAATCGGGCGACCTATGAGGCCAAACACTGAGACAAACTGCGAAGAGAGCGTGAGTGGCACGGTACTCCGGATCAGACAATGGTCTGAAGAGCCCAGAGGGTACTGACGGAGACCTGATATCCGTCCGGATGAGAGGTCAACAGAAGGTCCTACAGAGAAGGTACATGATCTTCAACATCTGGGATCCGCTTAGGCGAAGTAACCAGTTGTGTCAGGCAATATGCCAAGGCAAAGTTATAAACAGATCTACGTGCATGATCAGTTGATCAGTTAAACGGGAACCAAGCTAATCAGCGTGGTGGGCGTTAAAATTCCCGATAATCACAATCTCCTGTGATGATCGGTAATGATAATGACTTATGGGATCTGTTGTAGTATGGAGTCTGCAGCCATTTGGACGTGGTCGATGGGTCGATCTGCGTTGGCATTACCGCTATAGGACCTATAGAGGGACCCGTAGAAGCGGGGATGGTCGTCGGTGTCTACGCGCAGCCATAGGATGGACAAGTCTTTACCTTCAAGGAGAAAGGTCTTCACAAAGGAGTGTTCTAATTTGTACTCCGGGTAGGAGAGGTACGAAATATCAGCCAGAGAGGTGTTCCCGGTTAGAAAGAGCAAAGCTGGCTTCCCCCCTCCAGATGGTAGTGAACGGAGTTAATGTTTCAATGAAGTCCCCTGATGTTGCAGAAATTCACGTATAGCGTGGCAGGGTTTGCCTTTGTCAGCCTCAGCACCCACGCACAAAAAGTAGGATAGGTTGGGTGTGGATGCTAGCGAGGGATTCTCCGCCAGGGGTACTGGTACCCTCCTGAGGTAGTGTTCCATGTAACTCCGCTACCATGTTAAGGGAGGGGGGGGTAGAAATTGGGCCTCCCCACCTGCACTCGCCATGCGAAACGTAGAAGTTAACTTCTCCTTTACGCTGGTAGTCTGTGAGGTCGTGATACTAGCCTGGTTAAATCTAAAATAAACAATATATGCATGTATTGCGAGTAAGAAATCTCTTGTTTTATTTATTATCAGTTATCACCGCAAACGCGATTAAATTAATAACAAAGGCATTTTAGCGACTTTCCGATACTTCGCGCAACATAATTGTAGTAGTGGCTTTCAGGTAAAAATGTCACTTGGGTGTTACGTAACGCGTAGGGTGGGGAGGGGGGAGGAGCAGAAAAAGGTTACGGCGCGTTACATGGAGAAGAGGGAGGGTCAAAAATCTTCAAAAGTTGCGTTATGAATACTTGAACGCCCCCTTAGTGTATGTAAACTGCCTCCACGATACAGGAAAAGAATGTGGGGGTAACGTTTTTATTTTTAATAAAACAATTTATACATATACCAGGCGGTCCCATAATGAACTGGCCTGATATAGTTCAACGCGACATGTCGCTACATGTTGTGTTGCATTAAATAGTACGTTTATCGTGCACTTAATATAAGAAACATGCATCGACATGAAATGCTTAGTCTTAGTTTAACAGGCATTTGAATAACGAGAGTCGCGTATTTTTTCAAAATGTCGAAAACTGAGTATCGAAGTGTCATAAAGTTTCTGTTTAAAGAAGGTTTATCCCCTGCCCAAATAAAAGAACGATTGGATGGCGTGTATAAGGAGTCTGCCCCCTCCTATAGCACAGTGAAAAATTGGGTGAAAGAGTTTCGCCTCGGGAGAGAAACCGTCGAAGACTTTGGACACGACGGTCGACCTGTGGAAGTGCTCACTCCCGAAACGATTGCTCTTATCGAAGAGGAGGTTCTGAGTGACCGCCGTTTGAAGATTAGAGAAATTGCAGCAAGGCTTGGGCTCTCTAAGAGTACCGTTCATCGCGCGATCCATGAACATCTTCACATGAAAAAAGTGAGTGCAAGATGAGTACCGAAACTTCTTTCAGCGGTACAGAGACAGGAAAGAGTGCGCTGAGCTTCGGAGTTTTTGGATCTTTGTGGCGAAAATCCAAAGACTGTGAACGAGCGGCTAGTGACTGGTGATGAAACTATGATCTTGTATTATGATCCACAAAGCAAGCGCGAGTCAATGGAATGGCGTTATAAGGGTGAAAAGCCGCCTAGAAAGGCAAAGGTGCAACAATCGACTAAAAAACTGATGTGCACAATATTTTGGGATTTTCAAGGCATTTTGATGGTGGATTTTAAAGAACGTAATACAGTCGTGAACGTCGAATATTATGCTTCTTTAATATATAAATTACGAGACAAGATAAAGGAAAAACGAAGAGCCAAGCTGTCTAAAGGTGTCCTTTTGCTCCATGACAACGCCCCTGTTCATACAGCTGGTGTTTCGAAGGATGCAGTTCGTCAATGCGGGTTCACAGAAGTTCAACATCCACCTTACAGTCCAGACATGGCCCCGTCCGACTATTATTTATTTCCAAATTTAAAGCGGGACTTAAGAGGAAGAAAATTTTTCAAGCGAGAAGAAGAGTTGCAGGCGGCCGTCTTCAGTCATTTTGAGGATAAAAAATGTGATTATTTTTATAAAGGTTTAGAGATGTTGATTCACAGATGTCAGAAGTGTGTTAGTATTCATGGTGATTATATTGAAAAATAAAATTGGTTTCGTTTCATTTCCTTCATTGGTTCATAGTTAGGCCAATTCATTATGGGACCGCCTACGTAGATGACGTGCACATATTTAGCAGTGTGCTCGTATGGGCTGGTATTAAAAATGTGAATTGTGGGTGGCAGATTCGGAGGCGCCTGCTACGGCGTTCCTAAGCGGTCGCTTGTCTCGTGCTCTGGAGAAGTCCCGCGCACGCTGGGGCGGCACGCGGCTCAACTGGGCCGTGCAGAGCGCCGCCGCGGACTTCCTGCACCTCATGCTGGTCAGCATGGCGCACCTCGCGCCGCACGCCAGGTAACCTGTACGCCTGTACACCAGCTGCACTTCCTTCACGTCATGCTAGTCACCATGGCGCACCTCACGCCGCACACCAGGTAACCTGTACACCAGCTGCACTTCCTGCACCTGACACACACACACACACACACACACACACACACGCGCGCGCGCGCCCGCACATGCACGCACGCACGCACACACGCACGCACACACGCACACGCGCACACCCTGGAAAATTGTCTTGACATAAATCAAATAGGCTAAGAAACATGACAGAAGGTGCTAAATCCTAACATACAGGCGCTTATCTAGTTTAGGATTCAGAGGTTTCATAGGCTATTTGTAACCTCATATTATGTCAGTATGGATTTTTTTCTCAGCTAAAAGCTGATAAATAAATGGCAATTACGGGTTGAAACCAAGTAACATTCATTGTAATATGAGATAAGCTACATTACTGTCACCCTGCATGAATTTTCGAACGTTGCGACATGTATTAAATTGCTGCTTTTTGTACATTAATGTATGAGTTCGGTGATATGTCTAGCATTTTCAAACTGTGATGTAAGTGCTTCGGGATTATTCCTGTGGTAGGAAGTTAGAAATTACTACGGGTATTATAATCTATCTATCTAATCTATGTATTTATTTAATTTGTCTGTTATAGTTTTAATTAAATTATGTGTATTAGGTACGGCTATATCAATTATCATCATCATCATCATTACAGCCCTTCACAAGTCCATTGCTGAACATAGGCCTCCCCCAAGGTATGCCACAAAGCACGGTTCTGAGCCACCTGCATCTATCGACTTCCTGCATGTCTTACCAGGTCGTCACTCCATCTAGTGGGGGGTCGCCCTACACTTTGCCTACGGGTACGAGGCTGCCATTCGAGAACCCTTCTTCCCCAACGGTTGTCGGTTCTTCGAGCTATATGGCCGGCCCATTGCCACTTTAGCTTACTAATCCGTTGGGCTATGTCGGTCACTCTGGTTCTACTGCGGACATCCTCATTTCTAAGTTTATCACGAAGAGAAACTCCAAGCATAGGCCTCTCCATAGCTCGCTGAGCGACTTTGAGCGTCCTCACACGGCTTGCAGTGAAGGTCCACATCTCGGTTCTATAAGTCATCACCGGCAACACGCACTGGTTGTACAACTTAGTTTTCAGGTTTTGAGGTATACCTGACGAGAAGATGTGTCGTAATTTCCCGAACGCTGCCCAGCCGAGTTGAATCCGTCGATTGACCTCTCGGTCGAAGTTGGACTTACCTAGTCGGACTATTTGTCCCAGGTAAATGTACACGTCAACAACTTCGAGCTTAGTGCTCCCAACAGCTACCGGCATAGGTGTGACATGGACATTAAACATGATCTTTGTTTTGTCCATGTTCATCTTAAGACCTATCCGTTGGGAAGCACTATTGAGGTCATTGAGCATAGTGCTTAAGTTGTGCCGTAAGGACTATATCGTCGGCAAATCGAAGGTGAGTGATGTACTCGCCATTGATGTTAATACCGTATCCTTTCCAGTCCAGTAGCTTGAAAACGTCTTCCAATGCAGCGGTGACGAGTTTCGGGGAAATAACGTCACCCTGTCTTCTCTCTGCAGTTAGATAGGTTTCGAACTCTGGTTCTGTACTCGGATAGCCATCGTAGCCCTACTGTACAAACACTTCGGTACCTCGATATACCGACAGTCAACTTGGCGTCGCTGAAGAGACTGTAGCACCGCCCTAATTTCGACGGAATCAAAGGCTTACTCATAGTCCACATACGCCAGGCAAAGTGGCAGATTTTACTCTTCGGACTTCTGTACAATTTGCCGAAGGGTATGTATGTGGTCTATGGTACTAAAGCCTTTTCGGAAACCTTGTTCTTGTTCGGGAGGCTGGAAGTCGTCGAGTCTGCGTGCGAGACGATTCGTAATGACTCTCGAAAACAGCACGTAGACGCGGCTCAGAAGGGATATCGGTCTGTAGTTCTTCAAGAGGACGTTGTCACCTTTCTTGAAGAACAAGACCACCGCACTTCTGCTCCACGCCTCCGGAGTAGTGCCACCATGGAGGACGGAATTAAAGATCCTCGCCCGGGGATTTGCCGTTTTTAAGGTGCTGGAGAGCCATTCTAATCTCGCTCAGACTGACGTCCGAGATATCGTCGGAATAGTGTCGGATAAGACTTGCTCTTGAATCGTTACTCACACTTGCGTGTGGCTCCAACGATGTGTACCGCTGTCCATAGAACCTCTCAATCTCAGGTGTCCCGGAAACAATGCTGCCATACTCAGTCTTTAGCTTTGACAGTTGGCTCTTACTGGCAGACAGCATCATCTCTGGCAAAGACTTTGAAGCCCTGGTTCCGCTCGATAGCTTCTTCAATACGAGCAGTATTGAAGTTGCGCAAGTCTCACCGCATGCATTTGGAGATCTGTCTGTTCAGTTGCCTGTATGCTGTCAAATCTGTTGACGATTGCAGCCTCGTCTCCCGTCTAACAGCCACAGCTCACAGATTAAGAGTGTGATCGGAGAGTTTTTGTGTTCTTCTGCGGCGGGTCTTGCAGAACTTACAGAACTTACTGTATACTCCAACCGCATGGACAGTTTCCACGAGCTTATCATTCATATCGTCTGCATTGCAATCTTCTATGCACTGAAAGCGGTTACGTAACTCAAGCTGAAAAGTTTCGGAATTCTGGATTAGAGCACGAGGGGACGGAGCGTTGACTTCATTAGACGAGACCTCTTAAACTTAACGTTTAGGTTCAGTGTGCCTCTAACCATTCGGTGATCACTGCCAGTTTTCGCCCTTGCGATCACTGAGACATCACTGAACAGTTGGCGTCTGGTCGTCATTATGAAGTCAATCTCATTTTTGTCGAACCGTCGGGGCTCGACCAGGTCCACTTCCTGTGGGGCCGCTTCTGGAAGAAAGAGTTCATCATAAAGAAAGAGGGACTCTTTCTCCATAAAGTCGGCCAGCCGCTGGCCTCTACGGTTCCGTTGCCCTGCTCCAAACTTCAGCTCACCGCTTTCTCTAGTGCCTAGTTTTGCGTTGAAGTCTCCCATCAACACCGTGTAGTGGGATTTGGAGGAATGCATGGCTTTGGAAGTATCCTCATACATTTCCTCCACCTCCTCATCGGGATGTGCAGAGGTTGGTGCGTAAACCTGTATGACCTTCAGCGAATACCGTTTGGTGATTCTGAGTATCAGGTACGCGACCCTCGTTGACATACTCTCAATCTTTACAACGTTGTTGTGAGACTTGTGGACGATAAATCTGACACCTCCTTGGACAGATGGTCGCCCTCCCGGTGATAGAACAAGTTGCCGGACTCGAGGATTACCGTGTCCTCTCCCTCTCTTCGGACCTCCGATAATCCAATAACATGTCAGCGCAACTTGTCTACCTCTTCTTCCAGCTCCAGTATCTTCTCGTCAGTCCTCAGGGTGCGTGCGTTATATGTTGCCAGGTCGCGTCGTCGTAGGTGGCAACCGAACCTCCACAGGAGATTCTTAGCACCCCCTGCCCCTCCGTTACCATGGTCGCCACCGTAGCCAAGAATAGCAAGGCCGTCGGGGACTGGTGGCCGTTGTTTTGCGTCGTTATTCATGGGGGGATATTTGCCATAGTTGCCACACTTAGCGAGCGGGTTGGCAACCGCAGTTTTTTATTATATCATTGCTGTTATCAGGAAGATGCTGCTACCCATCTCCTGCCTGTCTCCCTCTGTCGCCTCTTACGACACCCACGGAAAGATATGGGGTAGTGGATATTCTCAACCGCCACTACACGGTAGTGTCAATATCAATATCAATTATATACACTGTTTATTTATTTTATCTTGGAGCGTAATTTCCGGTCTATCCGGCTGTTGGTGTGTATTTGTAAAATAGCGTATGTGCGTCTGGGATGAGTTTGTGCTTGATTGCTAATTTTTGGTGTATTATATCTGCAACCGACATTTATCATCTGCTATTGTAGGATCTTTAATTATATATTTTTGATTACTTTTCGTATCAATGACTTGATACTGTATTCATATGAAGCCTTCGGTTTCAGGGAATAAGTAAGCACCTACAAGCCACCTATTCAATGCCTCCGAATGTACATGTATTTGATCTAAGTCATAAGGATGTCTGCCATGCATAACTTTCTTTTTCCATTGTGCTAATTTCATGTCTTCTCTGTCTGTATGCTGGTCATTTATTTCTGTTATATGTGGCTTTTCTGCAGGGTTTAGTGGTGCATACTATATATTGGTTAACGTCTACTAGCAATAGTATTATGTAAATTACTAGTAGTCATTTTTTGTTATTATTATCATCGACCTAACAAATTATATGTTTATGTCAAGAACAAAAAATAATTTATAATAATGATGGATTTGTTTCTGTGTTTTAGATTTTGTCTCAGCTTCCATGACGAAGTACGGTATTTGGTTCCGGAACATCTGAAATACGAAACCGCATTGGCTCTGCACATCACAAATCTTTTCACTAGAGCATTTTGTTCTCAACGGTGAGTTATTTTTGTAGATCACAAATTATAGCTATGTAGTTAATAATTTGCGTTCATCTGAGCCGATTTAATCACACACACACACACACACACGCACACACGCACGCACGCACGCACGCACACGCACACACACACACACACACACACACACACACACACACACACACACACACACACACACACACACACACACACACACACACACACACACACACACACACACACACCACCATCACCATCCAAATTTCGACGGAATCAAAGTCTTTTTCATAGTCCACATACGCAAGGCAAAGTGGCAGTTTGAACTCTTTCGTACGTATGTGGTCTATGGTACTGAAGCCTGTTCGGGAACCGGCTCGTATGGGAGGGTGGAAATCGTCGAATATGCGTGCGGTACGATTCGTAATGACTCTCGAAAACAGCAAGTAGACGCGGCTCAGAAGGGAAATCGGTCTGTAGTTCTTCAAGAGAGAGTTGTCGCCTTTCTTGAAAAACAAAAACAAGACCACCGCACTTCTACTCCATGCCTCTGGAGTAGTGCCACCATGGAGGACGGAATTGAAGAGCTTCTGAAGGACTTTAAGTATCGATTTTTCACTCACTTTCAGAAGTTCCGCTGTAATTCCATCCTCACCTGGGACCTTGCCGTTCTTAAAATAGTGGAGAGCCATTCTAATCTCGCTCAGACTGACGTCCGGGCTATCATCGGATAACGCCCGCATAAAGAACTAAAGCTGATTTCTCTACTAAACTGCATCATCAGTCATAAAGAAATGATTTTCATGCAGACTTAATGACGTCTAGTCTCTAAAATACGCTGATTTAAAACCTAGCGCTATGCTCAGTTTAACCTGCATAGTGTCTACCAACGGTAAACGTAAGGATTTCAACGGTTAAATCAGAAAAAGATGTGTTCATGTCAAATGTGTACGGGGTTGTTAGGAAATGATGTTGATGTTGATAGAATATGTCTGGTTCAAATATGGAAGGAAAATATGGTGTTCATAGATTTCATATAACAAATATCGTTGATATCTTCATCCACTGGAAACCAAGTGCAAAGGTATATATTTTGTAGATTAATTACCCTTAAAAATGAATGAAAATTTTAATGATTTTAATATGGGCGCTATCACCTATCATATAAATAATATATTTTGTAGATTAATTACCCTTAAAAATGAATGAAAATTTTAATGATTTTAATATGGGCGCTATCACCTATCATATAAATAATTTAGATTGCCCTGAGTGTTGTAGTGTATTTTCATGAGCGACAGAATTGAAGCCACTAGGCAAGTCCACCTTCGACCAAGTAGTCAACCGATGAATACAACTCGATTGTAAAGTTCAATAACCCTCAAAATCTCAAAACAAGTGTACAACCAGTGCGTGTTGTCTGCAATCACCTATGGAACCGAGATATGGTTCTTTAATTTTGGATACATGAAAAAGCTTTAAATCGTTCTGCAAACTATGAAGAGGGGTGTGCTCGGAGTCACTTTGTGTAACAGAATCGAAGATATCCGCAGCAGTTACAGACATGATTCTAAGTATCGGTAAAGAATGGGCAAAGGGCCGGCCGTAGTTCGAAGAACCGACAACCTGTGGAAAAAAAAGTCTTCCGAACGGTTCCTGGTAAGCGGAGCGAGGTGATCCCCCATTAAATAGAGGTTGAACGACCAGGTAAAACATGTAGGATGTTGATGTATTTAGATGGCTCAAGACCGTGAGAATAGCTAGGGGAGATTTATGTTTAGCTGTTGACTTGTGACGGGTTATAATTGAGAAACAAATACAAGTATGGAAAATAGTTATTCGCTCGTAATAATTACTCGAAAAATGCAAGATCAATTTTCGAGTAATTACTACGAGCGAATAACTATTTTTACACCAAATTTAGGTCTTGCTCCTCCTCTGGTATCACAGACTTTTTTGTAGATATTGATATCTTCTGTAAAACAGTAGTACATCACTTTGCTCTATTGTCAATAATTTCCGCAGCGTAGGCGATATAAGGATTTTTGGCGTTACTATTGTAAAGTAATTTTGACATATCTGTAATAGTTAGACGTATGATATCACAGACTTTTTTTTGTAGATATTGATATCTTCTGTAAAACAGTAGTACTACACTTTGCTATATTGTCAATAGTTTCCGCAGCGTACGCGATATAAGGATTTTTGGCGTTACTATTGTAGTTATTTTGACATATCTGTAATAGTTAGACGTATGATATCACAGACTTTTTTTTGTAGATATTGATATCTTCTGTAAAACAGTAGTACTACACTTTGCTATATTGTCAATAGTTTCCGCAGCGTACGCGATATAAGGATTTTTGGCGTTACTATTGTAAAGTAGTTATTTTGACATATCTGTAATAGTTAGACGTATGATATCACAGACTTTTTTTTGTAGATATTGATATCTTCTGTAAAACAGTAGTACTACACTTTGCTATATTGTCAATAGTTTCCGCAGCGTACGCGATATAAGGATTTTTGGCGTTACTATTGTAAAGTAGTTATTTTGACATATCTGTAATAGTTAGACGTATGATATCACAGACTTTTTTTTGTAGATATTGATATCTTCTGTAAAACAGTAGTACATCACTTTGCTCTATTGTCAATAATTTCCGCAGCGTAGGCGATATAAGGATTTTTGGCGTTACTATTGTAAAGTAATTTTGACATATCTGTAATAGTTAGACGTATGATATCACAGACTTTTTTTGTAGATATTGATATTTTCTATAAGACTGTAGTACATCACTTTGTTCTATTGTTAATAGTTTTCGCATAGTACGCGATATAAGGATTTTTTCGGTATTTTTCACACCATGGGTTAAATTAACAAGGTTTTTATACGGGTCCCTAACTTTTTTGAAAATATACTATAGCCTATGTTCATTAGGGATAATGTAGAATTCCCATGGTGAAAGAATTTTTCTAATCAGTCCAGTAGTTTCGGAGCCTATTCAATTCAATCAAACAAATCTTTCCTCTTTATAATATTATATATACAGGATGTTAGTGTAAACACCGTTATCACTGAAACCAGTGGTTTGGTTTCACTTATAGAAGGTAAATTCAACGAAAAATAACATTTTGTTTTAGTAAAATCTCAATTTTTCCTTAATTCCTCAATTTTTGCCTGTCCTAAGCTAGGATGAAAGTATAAAGGAAAAGTTACGTCACAGGTTATGTGTACCTATTGTGTTTTTATTGGAATGTTGTGTAGGTAGCTAGCACGGGCGGTGATCTTTACAGTGATTACGTCACTCGGGCGCATAGGGTATCCATGAATTTACGGACAGTGTCGGACAGAAAGTTTTTAAATTTTATGAAAGAAAATAGCGTTATTTTTTTTAAATTCATTGAATTTACGTTCTATAAGTGAAACCAAACCACTGGTTTAAAGGATAACGGTGTTTACACTAACAACCTGTATATATATATAATTAATTTGATTCTTTCAATCTAAAAGTTTGCTCTTTAATATTTTCCTGACACTAAAGTGACAGTGCCAGAATCTTTATAGAACTTAAACGTACCCAATAAGTTTGATTCACTAAAACGGTCTTGGTATTGTTATATATAATTTTATTGCGGCATTATTACTGAAAATATTTTTTATGAGCAAATGTGACAAACGAGCACTCAGTCCACTTGATGGGAAGTTCACGCTGTGGCACATAGATATTTTCATTTATCCTCAATTAAGAATAAAAATCCACCCCTGAGGACTGAGACGGAATGCCTCGTTTCCAGTAAAAGGGGTCTCCCGTTCCCTGATTGAGCCGACCCATTCTTGCTACAACCATATAACAATTAATATCTGAAACATGACTCTACCACTTACAACAATTGTTTAATTGAAATTAACCTTGTGATTTTTTCAGGGTGGGCATTAACGACCTGCCCCAATCAGTAGCGTTCTTCACATCTGTGGAAGTGGATCAAGTTTTGCGGAAGGAATCTAATATCTGTTGCACTACGCCTTCTAATCCGCACGGTTTGGAAAAAGGCTACGGAATACCAAACGGAGAATCACTAACTATTTTCGATGCTATTGAAAAATCTAAAGCTAATAAATAATTATTGTTTTCAAATTTTGCATTTATTTTTGACTTAATAAATTCAATCTAGTTGTGCATCCCGTTATTCCCGGGACTGCACCGGAGACCATCACAATTCAAGCGTAAGCGTGGGCGTAGATTGCTGAATTGCGTCTGGAAGACGGGTGGTCTTCGTGCGAAACCGATAACTGTTCTTTTTTATATAGAGAATATTAAAAATGCTATAAACATTACTAATATTCCCCTTAACCACTCGTGGTAAGCTTAAATTGCTTGTGTTACGAGTGGTTCACGCCAGTAGTCGAATGGCGGATTCGAACTCACGACCTTTTTGAGTTAGCGGTCCGCGTCCTGCCATTAGGCTACTGTCGCTTAATAATTAAAATAACTGTTCTTTAGTTTAATGATTTAGAATAAGAATTAAGGTGTCTTAGTTAGGCTCTCACATGTATCGCACATGTAGCTTTAAGTTAGAATCCATCGCGGATTAATTAAGTAGCGTAAGTAATGTATCGCACATTAATAGTAATAAGTTTATTTAAAGTCTTTTTAAAAACGTCCTGAGTCAATTTCGAATCTTGACTGGCGCAGCCGGTAGGATTTCGCGTGTAAAGCTTGCTCATGTAAGAAGACTCAAAAATCAGTCCTCGTGAAGCAGTTTACGGTGCCGTGCACGAAATCTACGAACCGAAATAAATTTGTGGAATTCGAATCAGGACATCAACGAACTGTGAGTAAACCTTTTCACGTCCATCTCTGTTCCCATCTATTTTTGCTTGCTAGAATTTTAGTGTTATTTGATTTTTCTTAAATTGAACAAAATAAATTGCACAAGCATCGGCAATTTATTCTATATCATTAAGTTTAGTAATTAAATATTGAATATTAATTTTAAATAAATAAAATTTATTAAATTGTGTTATAAAAAATTAAAAATTACGTAATTAAACAAATAAAAGGACGTATTAAAGAAATAAAAATAATAATTATATAAATTGTTATATTAATATTTAATAAAATGGAACAATTACGTCTAATACCTAAGGATTTACTTTGTATTAGGTATACCTAACTTTGAAGGAGAGGAAGGATTATTAAATTTATTTATTAAGAAAGCTGAATACATATACAGGTCTTTCGCAGACCCTTATAATGCCACACAAACATTATATGTATTCCATGCGATAAGCAGCTGATTAACAGATAGAGCAGTACATTTGTTAAGTGAGTGTGAATATTAATTGTTGGAACACTCTTGAAGATATTTTAATTCAATATTTTGGCGATCCGCGTTCCGAAGATTGCATAGCTATCGAGTTAGACCAAATGAAAATTAAGTCTGGCGAATCATTTATCGATTTTTGTCATAGGATACGAGTACAACATATGCATGTAGTACCTTATTCGCAAAAGTCAATCTAATACAGGATGAAGGAGTAAAAGCAGCAAAAATTATAGTGTATAATAATATGTCACTAAAAGTATTTATTCCTTTATAATTTACCTGAGGATTTAATTCGTATCGTGCGTCTTAGACAGTGTACTACGAGGGTGGATTGAAAAGTACTCGGCCTAACCAAGAAAATAAACACATACTAAATCAGTTATATTTTTATTTTTCTACATAATCACCATCAAGTTCAATACACTTTTGCCATCTCCCCTTCCAAGCATTTAGACCGTTGAAAAAAAATGATTCTTCCTTAGAGTCAAAATATGCGTCTACAGCTGCTTTGACCTCGTCGTTTGTCGAAAATCTTTGACCTCCCAAGTGCTTTTTTAGGTTAGGGAACAGAAAGAAGTCTGATGGTGCCAGATCAGGTGAATACGGCGGATGCGGTAACAGTTCAAAGCCACAGTTGTGAATTTCAGCCATTGACTGTACTGACGTGTGAACACGGGCGTTATCTTGATGAAACAGGACTTTTCTTCTGAGCATTCCTCGACATTTTTCTTTTATTTCCTCTCGTAAACGACGTAGTAAGGTGCAGTAGTAATCAGAGTTTATAGTCTGACCCCTTTCAAGATAATCAATCATAATCACACCTTTCGAGTCCCAGAATACTGAAGCCATCATCTTATTTGCCCACAAAATCGACTTAGCCTTTTTAGGGGGTGGTGAACCAGGTCTTCTCCACTGTTTTGATTGTTGTTTTGTTTCCGGTGTACAGTAATGAATCCATGTTTCATCCATAGTAACAAAACGATTCAAAAAATCATCTGCATCGGCTTCAAATAACTCCAAACAGTCGCGTGAAATAGTCAATCCTTCCTTTTTTGTTCAACTGAAAGCAGTCGCGGAACCCACCTCGCAGACACCTTGTGGAAACCCAACTCGTTGACAATGATGTTTTGAGTTCGTTCATAAGAGATGCCTATAATCTCGGCTATCTCTCTAATTTTTAATCTGCGGTCTTCCATTATTAAATCAAGTACTTTTTTAATATTTTCGTCAGTAGTTGACGTCGAAGGCCTTCCAGAGCGGGGTTCATCTTTCACACTCTCTGTGCCACGCTTAAATTCTGCTATCCATTTTTTGACGGATGAATATGACAGAGCACAATCGCCTAATGTACTGACCATGTCATCATGGATGGCTTTTGATGATAGCCCCTTCTTATGGAGGTACTTAATGACGGCACGCTGCTCGATTTGCTCCATTCGCGGAAATTATGTCCGATTACTTTGTTAATAAATTTATAAAATCACAACTGATTATCGCACACGTTTCGAACTTCACACAATGAACTATTCTGAACTGAACTAAATAATGTGGATAGATTTGATTTTTATAATTGAATGGATCTGTGTTAGGCCGAGTACTTTTCAATCCACCCTCGTAGTTTAGAAAAGTGTCGTAACCGAGGAAGTGAACTTCATGAACCAATATAATGCTAAAAATATAATGAAACAGAATACAACATCCCAAAACTTCAAACCCCAACAAAGTGTTAATATTTTACCCAATAATAATCAATCGTATTTTAAATTTGCAAATCCACACTGAACCACAGAATAAATCCTAATTTCCTAATCATAATTTTATATTTGGTACCCTACATCAACAACAAGGTCAAAGATTTGTTGCTCAAAATAATTTTAATAATGGCCCAAGATTTAATAATAATATGGGACCACAGAACTTTAAGTTTGGTATTCCAAACCAGCAACCTAATTTTAAATTTGGCATACTTCAACAACTTTAAGGCTTTAGGCCACCCATGAATAATCATGCGCGACCCCCACTAGCTTTTACAAATCAACCCCAAAATAATTTTAAATTTGGTATACCCAATCAGAATTTCCAGAAACAAAATTTAAATGAAAACACCGATGTTTCCATGAGTACCGCACGTCCACTAAGACAAAATTTGGCAGATGACTAGGGTTCCCCAAGATAACGAGATATTCTATAATAACGAACCTGAAATACAAACGAAATATTATAACCATGATACAAATTACTGTGACGAAAATAATTACACATATAATTTAGAAGTGCCCCAATTCGAAGTAGAACCGTATAGTGAAATATAAGAAGCAAGTTACAACCCTGATATAATTTCGAATGATACTGAAAATTTTCAGATAGAAGCCTCCGATTCACCCCCGAAATAATACAAATAAATTGTGACACAATTCTCACAACCAAACAAAACACAAACTCCCGTATATCGAAATCCCGGAAATTCTCTCGGCTCGTTATATGATAGACACAGGAAGCATGAGATCTTTTACGAGTCTGGCTAAGGCAGAACAATATTTCTCCGCTTTCAAATTACATGAACATTTCGAAGTTATAAGTACGCATGCACGTAGTCAACATAACGAAGCTATATATATCCCGCTCTTTAAAACATTTAAAAGTTTAGAAAAACAAATTCTATGTATACGACGTCGATAGTAGATATGACGGTTTGATAGGTTCGGATCTTTTAAAACAACTTGGCGCTTCAATAGATATGAAAAACCAAGTAGGTAGTGCACACACGCGATACAAAAATACCTATTATACGAAACCCCCCATACGAAAGTACATTGGGACCAAGAACGTAAACGCGAGTCAAGGTCAAGGATAATAGATTATGTCGATTTTGGTCAAGGTGTTAGGATGCCGAGCGCTATAGTATATATATAGGGTTACCATGACGTTTCCTAAGCCCCTAAAAGTAACCAAGTATATAGCTGAAGAATGCAGAGCGAACTTCATGAGAGATAATTACGAGATAGATGAGCTGTTAAAAAAAATTTGTCGACATTACGTCTGGATTATATATTAAGGAAGAGCGCGAACGTATCAAAAAACTGTGCTATGACTATCGGGACATATTCTATTACGACTATATTCCGCTATCATTCACCAACAGTGTAAAACACAAAATCCGTACTAAAGATGAAGACCCAATATACATTAAGTCATACAGACATCCACCTGCAATAAATGAAGAAATACAGAAACAAGTCGAAAAGCTCCTCCAAAATAACGTCATTAAAGAATCTCACTCGCCTTAGAGCGCACCTGTCCATCTGGTTCCCAAACATGCCTCCCGTTTGGATTTAAGACAGCCCCCGCAACATTTCAGTGTGCTATGGATAACGTCTCGGGAAGGTTGCAAGGGTTGCATTGTTTAGTATATCTCGACGATATAATTGTATACTCTTCCAGTCTACAGGAACACTTAGAAAAGTTGAGAATGGTATTCGATCGACTACGTTAAACAAATCTCAAAGTTACCCCAGATAAATGTAAATTTCTTAGAAAAGAAGTCCTCTATTTAGGCCATACAATAACAAAAGACGGACTACAAGTCAAATAATGACAAAATCCAAGCCGTAGTAGATTTTCCTATACCAAGAACCACCACCGAAATCAAAAGATTTTTGGGTCTAGTAGGATATTATCGCAAATTCATTATAATTATACGAGATTATAATTAGAACCAGCTTCTCCACCTCAAGGGCCCACTGCTGCAGAATTTCGTTGATGCGTTGCACGCGATATCTAAGCTGTGCACGAAA